GTCAAGGGCTGCCGACCGTTGGGGTATGCAACACTGCTTGCCGGTGGAAAAGAAACCGGACTGACGCTCCCCAGAGTGGATATGGAGCCAGGATCATAAGGCCCTGTTTAAAATTAAAAAAATATATATATATAAAGAAAAAAAAGGCAAAAATGGAGGACATTGGAGGGGGAAGAGCTGTTCAGAACACGCATGCATTGACCTCAACAGCAGACAAGTTGTAACAGGAATGGAGAGTGGTCTGATAGAGTAGAAGTCTGTACACAGCTTTACTTCGCACAGAAGACGCAATGTGAACACCATCACAAGTCTCGTGACGCCAACATTTGCCCTTCTGTCTCATCCTCTCAGGCATGGAGGGTGTCCAAGGCTTTGGTGGAAGAGAGACAGACAGACAGCAAGGTTGTGCAGGAAACAAGAAAATGACAGTTACAAGGGAGAAAAACTCTGAAAAGTATCCTTACTATCTTTAAGGGAATAGCGGGTCTCGGGTAACGCTCCCGCGAGACCCGGCTGCCACTGTTGGGAAACGCGGTGGGACTGGTGGCGGCGGGGGCCCAAGGGAGGCCGTTGGGATCGGCGGGGGCGGGCCCGAAGTACACAGTGCAGTGCCGCGACGTGGGGAGATACACCAGTTGAGTCGTTCGTATGAGACTGAATTCTCCTCTGGAACATGGGGAGATACACAGGTTCCCTTTTGTTCGTTTGTTTCGTTTCTTTTTTTTTTTGTCGTTTTGCCAGTTTTTTTTTGTTCGTTTCTTTCCTTTTCTTTCTTTTTTCTGTCGTTTTGCAGGTTTGCTTTGTCCCGCCCGTTGTTTTCGTTTTGGCCTGAGGGCCTCGCTGCACTACTCTCCAAATGTGCAAATGAGACTGAATCCACTGCTAGAACACGGAGAAATACATTGCCATCTTTTTTGTCTTTCGCGCACGTGGAGAGTACCAAGCGTTCGCTCCGCAGCTCTCCAGATGTTCGAAAATAAGACTGGATCCTCAGGCAGAAAATGGCAAGATGCACCGGCTTTCCTTTTTTTTGTCGTTTTGCAGGCCCTGCATCGGGAAAGTTCGTTTTGCTTTAGCATGGCTCCTGCGCAAGGATCACATTTGCAAATCGAGGGGAAAAAAACTACTTCAACTTAAGAAAAAACTACTTCCTTTTGGGGGTCTGTCGCAGACATCGCACAGCTGCGAGTTCGCGCACAGCACCTGCGGCCCCCGTGTTGCTTTTCCGTGTCGGAAAAAGGCGGTGGGGACGAACGGGATGAGCGGGCGGGGGGGG